CCATAACATCCGCTTAGCTATCGGTTACCACCGATCCTCAGCCAATGACAGACATAGGTCTCCGTCGTCGGCATCTCGAGACCCCTGAAAAGTAAAGTCGACGTCCGAGGGTACGATGACCCTCGCACGTGTATCACCCTTACATTCGCACCGACGCTAACATGCAAGAGGTTTCACTCCGATTCCTCAAGCCATCTCGACGTAATGGGCAAGCATACCTAAAAATCACGGTTTTTTGCTAAAAAGACGGGTAAAAAATGACAAATCGTAAAAAGTCTTGATAGCAAGATCACCGGGGGAACATGCTTTACAAGATGCAAGAGGTTTCATTTTGATTGGTCAAGCAATCTCGGCATAATCGGTGAACAGACATTTAAAAGAAAAAAAAAGAAAAAAATACATGTCGAATTGAGTAACCTCCTCCTTTTCAAAGTCGGTTAAAAACATTAGTGATCTGACGACTTCCCTGAACGGAACTTTTACAGCTTTTCTTCTCCTTTTAATACTGGTTCTAGCGCCACGTGCGGATCGGCTGGCACGCTCAGTAATTTCTCGTCACTCATACCGAACTTTTCTACCATACGACTCGCGTACGCACTCTGGTGTACAAAAACTGATCTCTCATCCCGGTTTCGCTCAATTTGCATACTGACAAATAGACTCGAGTCGCCAATCGTGATTTTAAATGATTTTCCAAGATACATCAGCACGCGCTCGAGAACATCGTTTGATTCCGCGGAAATCAGACCGTCGTCGACATACAACGCTAAATACACTTTCGACCCGTTTACTTCGCCGGCAAAAATGCAGTGATCTGCCTCGGTTTCGCGAAACTTGTACTCTCGGAGAAACGAACCAAACTCGCGGTTCCAGCAGCGCGGCACTTGCTTCAAACCGTATAAGGATTTCTTTCGACGCTGAGACCCTCCGGGATCTCCATGAAGATTTCTTCATCCAGCTTGCCGTACAGAAATGCCGTTTGTACGTCGAACTGCGCCAACTCGTAGTTCTTCTCAGCAACAAAAGCGAGTAGCACCCGCACTGAGTCGTAGCGTACGACAGGCGCAAACGTTTCGGTGAAATCCACGCCTTTACGTTGCGTGAATCCACGAGCATAAAGTCAAGCTTTGTACTGACAAACGTTTCCCGTGGTGTCTCTCTTGATGCGAAAGACCCATTTGGAGTCGATAATCTTCACCTCCGGTCGCCTCTCGACCAGAGACCACGTCTCGTTCTCGTTATGTGCTTCGAGCTCCGTTTTGATTGCACCAATCCATTTCGATGAATCCTCGCTTCTCATCGCCTCTTCATACGTCGTTGGAACGTCATACTTGACGATGTTGCTCTCGTAACGACTCGGTCTTCGTATTGATCCGCGATCTCTCAGATTACGCTCTGGTTCGATGCGCGGTGCTCGAACAACCAATTCTGGTCTCGCTTCCGCCACTTCTTCGACAGCTGGCAGAAAAACATCGTCGATTTCGTCGTCTTTTCGCTCTTCGTTCGCGTCTCGTTCCTCGACAGTCTCTCGTTTCTCGGTAACTTCTCGTTCCTTGACAACTTCTTGTTTCAGTTTCGACAGCACTATTCCGTCACACGCGTCATCGTTTACCGGCAATGTTATTTTACAGATTTTCTCGCGAAACACCACATTTCTCGAGACCGATACTTTCTTCAATTATGGATCGTAGACTCGTAGATCCTACGAGAATCGTTCTTCGCGGTCGAGCATCGAACTTCGTCGTTTGCTGCTTCGGCACGTTAACGAATGCTTCGGAGCCAAAGATGCGCAGTTGCTTCAGATTCGGTTTGATTCTCATCCATCCTTCGTACGATATCGCTCCATTCTTGACACTCGATGATCCGGCGCGGTTCATCAAATAAACCGCCATGTTGCACGCTTCTGCCCACAGAGCTTCAGGAAACGCCTTCGCATACAGCATCGTCCTGGCACCCTCGATGATGGTCCTGTTATCGCGTTCTGCCTTCCCGTTCTGCTCGGGCGTGTACGGGGCAGTACATTCCCGTTCGATACCACGAGACTCGAGATACTCGTCCATCTTTTTGTTTCGAAATTCTCCGCCATTGTCCGATCGCAACACGTGCATCACTTTCCCGAATTTGTTTTCCACTAACTTGTCGAAAACTCGAAACTTGTCGAATACATCGCTTTTGTGTTTTAGAAAGTAGATGTGTCAAAAACTCGTTGCATCGTCCTTGAAAGTCAGGAGAAACCGCGCACCTCCTTGAGACTCGACTTTCATTGGACCACACACATCCGTTTGGAAAACTTCGCTGGGCTTCGTAACCGCGCGCACACGCTCACTTCGAAACGACTGTCGATGTGATTTCCCGATTTGACACGTGTCACAGAAGACGTCACCCGTTTTCGGCAGTTCGACTCCTTCCACGAGGCCTTTCTTCACTAGCTCTCGCATCGCAGTACCGTTCACGTGTCTAAATCTCTCGTGCCACACTTGAAGCCCCGTTTTCGCGACGTTTGCTTCGTCAACTTCTTCGGTATATTTAACGCGAAACAACATTCGAAAGATTTGATTTTCCTGTTTCACGTCATAAGCAACGACTTTCCCGCGCTCACGAATTTCGACTCGATTTCCCGAGAAAAACACTTCGCGACCTCTCGAGGTACACTGGCCGACCGAGAAGAGGTTCTTTTTCATTTGCGGAATGTAGAGGACTTTCTCGATCTTCGACGGATACCACGCACCATCGACGAACTTCTTAATTTTAATTGTCCCTTCGCCGACCACTCTGCACTTTTTGTCATCTCCGAGAGACACAGTGCCGCCGTCGGTTAACTCGCAGTATTCGCTGAACCAATCGCGTCGATTCGTAAAGGTGAAGTCCCATGAACGTAATGCTCGTGCTCGGGCAATAAATTATCCGTGCATGCCGGATTTTGTTGGAAAACACGTTCCTACTAGCGTCCAAAAGGTCGCTAAATGCGACGACAAACGGTTTGGAACCACTTGAAAGGGTCGATTTTTTACGAGCGTTCGGTCTCGGCCCATGGTCTAGGCTTGCGAGCACGGGGACTATTCCATGAAAAAAAAATCGACCCTTTCGAGTGGTTCGAAGCGAGACCCCCAATACTTGTTTTCACCGAGACCGTAGGCGCCTACCTGGGTTCGCTCAGGGGCTGGGGTCAAACGGGCGATGGACTCATCAGTTTTTGATAAAATCGAATTCTTTATTCTTCATCGTATCAACGTGAACGCGATGCCATTGGATTCTTGATGTTCTCCCGATTAAAATGATATCTCACGTCACGTAAATCGAACTATTTTTAATAATTTCGTTAAAAATAGTCCGATTCACGCGACGTGAGATATCATTTTGATCGTAGAAGCATCAGGAATCGATTGAAGTTACTTCCGCAAAGTTCCGATAAAAATTGTCGAGTTGGTATTTTCAATTCTTTATGACATCCCCTTGTCGACCGCCCGTTGCGATGATGGTGCCTGGCCTTTTTCGGGATTACGTGCTCGTTTAGGTGTTCGTCGTTCGTTGTGCCAGCTCGCCTGGGTCCATCAGACCCTCCTGCGGAACGAGTTAACAGGTTCAAGTGGACGTTGTTCGCGCTCGCCGCCCGAATTTACGTTCATGGGACTTCACCTTAATGTGTCTTGACGCGCCGCTGTCTGTAAACCAGATTTCTGTCTTGCCCGCACGCAGCACAGAATTCACAATATCGACAAGAAGCTTCGCACTTCCGTCTTTACTGACTTTTACCGACCGACGTCCACTCGGATTCTCCGCCACAAAAGCACAATCACGCGATTCGCTCAAGCTGCTGTCGCTTTTTTCCCGCCTTTTGTTTCTACACTCTCTCGCAAAATATCCTTTCTCGTGACATTTCAAACATTTCGCGTTATCTTTCGATCTTCACGTTTTCTTCGAGTCCTTCGCGTTCGGCTTGCCTTTTTGACGCGCACTCGTTTTTCTCGATGCCGCGCAAGCTCCCGGAGCTTCATCGTCCACGGCCAACTGAATTTTCTCACGAATCAGACGCTCCTGCAGGTTCTCAAGCGTCTGCATCTCCGCCGGCGCATTGTCTCATGGCGTTTGAAAAGCCGCGTATTTCGAAGATAAACTACCGAGCACCTTACCCATTATCGTTGTATCCGACACTTTCTTATCCACGTCGAGCAACCGTGCCGCCATGTTTCGAACATTGGCCACGTGTTTTACGATCAAGTCTCCCGAAGACATTCGATACTCGTATAACTGTGACATGAGCATCAGCTTGTTTGATGCCGATTTCTGCTCGTGCACACTGGACAACGTGTCCCACATTTGTTTCGCCGTATTACAAATTAACAGTGATCGCAACTGATCGGGTTCCATTGCTGATGATAGCAAGAACATCGCGCGCGCGTTATCTGTCGACCACGTTGCCTGCTCATCGGCTCAGCCGTCGCCTTGCGGTATCTGTCGCGTATCAGTAACCACGTCGTATATGCGATGCGTCAGAAATAAAGCTTTCATTTGAAACTTCCAGCCTTGGAAGTCCTGTCCATTAAATTTCGTCACGTTCCGTGTCGAGATTGCCTCAGACATGATCGATTACTTTCACTCGCGGTCGCGCGTCAATCCTCCGAGGAAAAAACGTTGCCAAGATGGCCGCTCCCGTTCAGACCTCGTGTCTTGCGTACCGCGGCTTTTCTCGCGCCTGTCTCTCCTCACAATATCTCACGCAGTTAGGGTGACTGGACCCATAACCTGTTATAATTTACTCGCAAGAACTGTGAGGATGGGAGACAGGAAGAAAATAAAAATGAAAATGAATAGCGATTCCTTTATTACGAGAAAACTTTTGTGCAAGCGAGCATGACGTAGCTCCGTCGTGCAACGCGCCTAGGCGACCAGTAAAAAAAAAACACGAAACGATCGCGATCTCGCGCGTATCCCACTCGTAACGGTTTCGAGCTCTGATTGGATAACAATCTGTTCACGTAAAGACGGCGACGAACAACGCGTCATGCAGAGCGAACGCACATTAAACTACTCCAATAGTTTTCGGTATGACTACCGCTCAAATTTCGTTTATAAGCATTAACAGTTTCTAGAAGCTGTTCTTCGGTTTCAGAAGTATTGGCAGTTTCTTCGAGTTGTTCTTCAGTTTCAATATTTGCGATTTGTTCGCCAGGCAAAAAAGACGATGCTATGCCTCTTTTTGCTTTAACGCCAAACATGGCTTCATAAGGACTTTGGCGTATTCCTTTGTGGTATGTAGTGTTCTTGGTAAATTGAACAAAGGATAAGCCATTTGACCATTTATTTGTATCGTTATCGTTCATCCATGCAGTTAGCATATTCTGTATATCCTGATTGGCCCTTTCAACTGAGCCTTGTGTTTGACTGTGACGAGACTTTCCATGAACTATTTTAACATCTTTCCACATAGCGCATATTTCGGATATGACTTGATTACTAAATTCTCTGCCATTATCTGATTGCAATATTGCTGGTGCACCAAATGTTAAAAATATTGAAAGAACGTGATGCGCTACTTCTTCACCTCTTTTAGTTTTCAAAGGTCGTAGCTGGACAAACTTAGTTATATGATCTTGATACACCATTATGAACTTATATTCGCCATCTCTGTTTGACTGCAGATCTATCAGATCAACTTGACATCTTGAGTTTAATTCAGAACTAACCATTGGCTTCACAACAATACCTTTCTTAGGTACACTGTGTTTCATTTGACACTGTTTGCATAAATTTAAGTACAACATTACAACTTCATATGTAATATTTTTGTATTTAACTTGCAACTCTTTAAGCATACGTGTTCTTCCTCCGTGGCCTATTCTGGTGTGAGTTTCATATAGTATACTATACAATTCTTCATTGGTAACATAATACTGTATGTTCGTTTCCCCTGGTTTTAATGGTACAATTAACTTTTCTTCATCATTAATTTTTAAAACATCAAAACGTTTTAATCGTTTGTAATCCAAAGGTGTGTTGCATTTAGTTTTAGCAGAAACCACTTCAGAAAGTATTTTAGAATACTTTTCTTGAGAAAAATAAAAACAATTGTCTTCTCGTTTATCCGCAATTAATGCATTTAACTTTTCAAGAAAAAGGTCACGATTTACTGCAGTATCCATTTAGTATAAATTAGGGTATCGGAAAAAAAATTAAGAAAAGGTTACTCGCGTTATCAAAGCTTGGATAAGACTGACAAAGCTAATTAACTCCGAGCAGAACAAAGAATTTGGCGGGACAGAGCCAGTCACTTGTTTTTTAACTCTTCTGTTTTGGACCTCCACCAGAGCATATCTGTGATTGTCGACACACACCGGAGAGGGTCCGAATGTACAACAATGTAATGAAATATTCGATCTTTCACCGACGTATTTGGTATCTGTTGGTATATTCACCGGTGAAAGTCGACATTCTCCAATTTCGGTCATTTACGGTAACATATACATATACTTTCTGTGGACGAATATGTACGGCCTTCACAGTCGAAGGGTTAAGGAAGGGTAAAACCCTAATTATTATTTAATTTCATACCACTGAATATTCACTTTCATTTTGAAATATTTTGTCAATTATTAGATACAATATTTAAATTGTTTTTCATTCGTAAACGCATTGACAATGTGTAATTTGTCAGAATCAGACAATGTTTACTTTATATTTATTTCTATAATAATTACTTGCAATTGTTACATCAATCTATAAACATAAACAACATTTCGAATCTGCAATCATAGATCAGCGATGTGCAATCTGCCAGAACTAATTGTGTTTGATTATTCATTAATCCTGATTACTGATCACGGATTACAGTTTATCCAACACCGCAACTTTGATAATGCGCCATGAAAATTGCAAATTGCCATGTACCTTTAAATATACATATAACTGGTACACTGCAGTTGTGCACGATGAATAAATTTTCTTTCGTCGAGAAAGAATCGCGATGTGACAACACGTCTCTGCGATACGAAGGTCTGCAATGCAGGCTTCTTGAGGGATCTTACGATCTATCTCTTCCGACGGGGAAGAGTTTTTAAAGGTTTCAAATATGGCCTACCCCAACTATAGTCTAACAATACCCACATAGCACCGGACGTCCCATACACGTCCATTTTATGTCCAGTTTACGTTCAAACGTCCGACGTCCGTTGTCGGACGTCCGGCCGGAACGTCCTACGAACGTCCATGGGACCTAAATTTTGTACGTCCCAGGGATGACCGCTCTGAACTTTCTAGATTTAGGGAAAAATACTTTTTTTTAAACAAAATAAATATTATTTATTAACATTCTTAATTAATTAATTAATTAATTAATATTATTATCCCAGATAGCACCGGACGTCCCATGGACGCACAGAGAACGTACAGAAAACGTTCTGGGAATGTCCAGCACTTGACGTTCCATGGACGTACATAAGACGTTCCTGTTCCTGTGTTATCTGGGTATACAATCATTATTTAATATTCGCAATAGAATATATGTTTGAACAAGTAAAACAAAATATTTATTCAATATTAGGAATACAATATTTTTTGTACATATGAGATGTGTGATATGTATGTAATATTTGGAACTAATCAGAATTACCTAGTAAATTAATTCTTCTAACTTTTCAAAAAAAAGTTCAAGTCATTTAGACCAATTTCAAAAGAAGGAATTGTATTTTAAAAAGTATCCGAATATTAATACGAGTCACTATATAAGCCTAAAATATAAGTCGATTTAGGAAAGTCGTTTATGGGTAAGTGAGGAAGCAAGTTGCGGTTGTAGTTCGAAAATCATCAGTTCGAATCCCGCCGGAGGGTAAATAAAAATTAAAAGATTTTTGTTCGTCGTTTTCATGGAATCCAGTTTACAAGAAATAAATATATTTAACTAAAATCTACCAACAAATAAAAGAAAATATATAAAATTAAAATTTAATTTTTGATTAAATCTCAATTTTACAGAGAACGTTCTGGGAATGTCCACATCGGACGTCCCAGGGACGTACATAGAATGTCCACGCCGTTCACAGGACGTTCAGTGGACGTTTGGACGTTATCTAGACGTCCATAGGACGTCTTATGGACGTACATAAGACGTCTTATGGACGTACATAAGACGTCCCTGTTGCTATCTGGGTAAGTAGGCACTGGTCTAGAGTGCAGGCTTTGAAACAGTGTTGGGTACCAGTAATTGGTTACTTTGTGATTACTTTCGCAGTTAATTACTGAAAGCACTCACGGCAATTATAATCATTAATCGAGTAGTTATTGCTGAAATTAATCACTAGATACACAAAATTATTAGGTAGAACAATTCATTCTTTGCCTATCCAAGATAAACTTTCTATTTATTTAAACCTTCCATTAGCTTTAGAGTCTAACTTCTACGTTAATGGACCAATTATCCTCACATTTGTAGGAAATGTTTCTTGGCCGAAAAAAATTGTTTTAATGTGATTTTGCATTTGATAGTTACTACAGTCACACTTTGAGTACGTTGCGTTAATTAACATTATTATATTATTATATTGTGGTATGCAGTTCATAACGATAGTATTTTCTTTCATCAACAAAGTGGCTTAAACACAAAAAGAGATTGACACATGAGACGGAACAATGTTCGCCGAAATCAGCTAGTTGTATGTACATATAATAATCAATGGTTACAATTAAACTGCGGATTTTATGCAGTTGTAGCGTAAAATAATGACGATATTGAATAAATTTAAACCTGAAAAATAAACATCTGGTTACTATAGGGGAGGTATTCAATCGATGTTGCTTGGGGCGCCGTACACCCTTGAGTTGGTCCTGGTTTCTAACCATTCTCACGGCGTGACCTAATTATGCGCCGATGTTTCTCGGCGTGCGTCATTGAGACCATAAAAAACTTCAAAAAAGTAAAGAATTACGCCAAATACATGAAAAAATGGAGGACTTAAAGAGTAATCATAGAAAAATAGAAGATCCCCCTAAAAAAATTCAAGAAAGTAGAAAAAGAAGTGAAATCGAAATGAGCTGGCAGTACACGAAGGTGCTTTTCAGCAAAGTGCAAAGGCGACACTGTATAACACAATGAAAAATTCGGTGCTTTCCAACTATGCGCAGCTAAACTGCTGTGTTCAACAGTGCAGACGTTCAGACCCTAATGACAACTCATGTAAACTGACTGCTCCGCACTTTGGCGGTGAAATTAAGAAGCTAAATAGTGTATCAACCACAAACTGAGACAGTTTAGACATTTGCCTAGATGTCCTTGGCCTGGAAGTCAAATGCTTTGCGTGGCCAGGCAAAGCATTCTCAGATCATCAGTACCCATACTTTCTCTCTTGCAGACTTTCACATAATTAGACACAGACTTTCAATTTAAAAAGTAGTCAGTTCAAAACTTTGACAACGGCCAGGCAAGGTCAAGCTTTTGATGAATAAGCATTATTTTAAAATGTAAAATAATGAAAATGTACTCATATTGTCAGCGTTTTAAACTGAAAAATTATGTGAAAGTCTGCGAGAGAGAAAGTATGGGTATTGATGATCTGAGAATGCTTTTCCTGGCCTCGCCAAGCATTTGACTTCCAGGTCACGGACATCTAGGCAAATGTCTAAACAGTTTCAGTTTGTGGTTGATACACTATTTAGCTTCTTCATGTCACCGCTAAAGTGCGGAGCAGTCACTTTACATGAATTGTCATTAGGATCTGGATATCCGCACTGTTGAATACAGCATTTTAGCTGCGCATAGTTGTAAACCACCGAATTTTACATTGTGTTATGCAGTGTCACCTTGCACTTTACTGGAAAGGACTTTCATGTACTGGCAGCTCATTTTGATTTCACATCTTTTTCTACTTTCTTGTACTTTTTTATGGGGATCTTTTATTTTTCTATGATACAATATCACTACACGTAGCCTTTAAAATAATTATTCAATTTGCGGCGTCCAAATGTCACCAATACAAACTGACAGGTTAAGAAAAATGCATTTAAATTTAGAAAATATTGCAGGCGTGATGAGATATTAATGAAAGAAGTTTCAATTTAGGTTGGAATGGACCATCTCTCCTGTAAAAGATAAGCGGTAGCGCCACGTTCTACAGAGTGGCTGTATAAATTTTCATGAGCTTGGCGTCGAGACGCAACCGCGTCTCTAGATATAGAGCCTATAGTCAGGGCCGGCGCAAAGCATTTTCAGCGCGTTCACTGGAACCCGCCCCCGCGTTTTGAGAGGCCTCCCGACCTACGAAAATTTTGATTAACTTTTTACGGAATGATGATATCATTAACAGATGCAAGACATTTTTTTATTAGCGATGACTGAGTTTAAAGGAGTGACAAAAATCATCAAATTAATATTATTTAATATTCATCTTATAAACAATATATAATGTGTAACAGCATTCGTAAGTAAATAATTCCTCGTTGAAAAATTTAAGTGTAGGATTTTAATGTGAATTTAAGCCCTGCAAAATTTTTGAACCGACCCTGCAAAAGGTCACGACCCTGCCTATAGTCTACGCGCATCTCCATTCCTCGGTTTTCGACAAGAACCTCATTCATTTATTGTTAGAAGCAGTTTCCAGAGTTTGAAGTTTTTTATGGGGTATAAAACCTATTCCAATATTTTATTCGATTGTAGATGAATCATTGAAACGAACAAGTATACTTTCCGATAAATCAAATGGTAGCATCCGATTTATTCCAAAGAAGGGACGTAATTGACCATAAAATACCGGGAAAGAATTTTAGTACTCACAATTTCCAAGCAAACAACTTGTTACACCTTACATGTGAACATTTTATATTTTATTATTTTAAGGAGTAGCTTTGTAGACACATTCAAGGCTAAAATACTTTTACTCGTGACCATCAATTACCAGCAAGTGATCGACTCTCTGTCGTCACTTAGCAACAGACATGAGTAAAATTCTTATCTAGATAACAATTTCGTATAACAAATGAAAGATAAAGAATTTTTGATGCCTGGATTTCTGTAATTAAGATTAGAATCTAAATTATGTTTCATATTTAATGATTAGAAGATCAGCTGACTAACTGTCCAATCGTATAAACGTTGCGAATAAATTATTATATGGAGATTGATATCATTAGGCTGCAGATGTTTATGGAAATTCATATTTTCACAGATACAGAAATAGAATTGAAACTTTAATGAAAGTACGTCTTATCTTCTAAACATATATGACATGTATATTATTCTTGATATTTTATATATTTTTGCATTAATACACATTTTCATAGATTTTTCCATATTTCCATTTACTATAAAATGCATTAACTTTTTATTTTTATATCATAATTGTCGTTACGGTTGAATGTATTAATTATGAAAAATATACTAAAATCTACATGAACACGCTATGTATAAAAAAATATTTGTACTCGTCCTAGTAGTAAGATTTACATTTTTATGAGGAATATTATGAAATCTGTGTAAAAGACGCGATAATTCCTCTTTTAAAGTCACGCATTGTTACTCCCACCACTTTTAACGACAAATAAGCCTCGAACTTGGAGGGAATTTTGATCAGACTTGACTCGTCTAAAAGACATGGCCTGGACCTGAGTCGACGCCTTTTACTTAGACAGTGCTTACTGTAATATTGTAAATGTTAATTACATTAAATTATAATTATTTGCATACTACATATTTAACAAAAATAAAAAAAAAACTAAACTTATTAATTTCAAACAAAGTAAGTAGTATCAAATCCCTTAATATTGTATAGTTTCATTAAAAATTTCACTGCGGTTGCAAAGAACTACGCGCTATGTAATTTATTATCACTAATAATTTATGTCATTACTTTGAAAAGATTGAGAAGCGGTGCTTTTTAAAACTTCGTCGTGAACGCACTCACGAAGCCGCTCCGTAGTATAAAAGAATTAATTCAGAACAACTACTTTAAACCTACTATCACTGGTATTATTTCTTGCTCACTTTTCTACAATTTTCACGTGACTTTATACTGAGCTTAAAAAAAAATCTTTTATTTAATTTATAGCGTGAAAAGCACTTCGTACTTGTTAATGAGAAATTCTGTGCACAAGTACACTAAATATATCGGTAAGGTTGATTACGAATATCTCGCGTTTCGTACAGTGCAGATCAAACTCTACAGTTAGAAGTAATTGAAGAACGTTTTGTGAAGTTTGCTGCCACGAGTTATCTTATCGTGCTTTTAATTGTTTAACGAGACCCTTCGTGTCGTGTGCTATTAAAATATTTAATTATACTAATTATAGTATAATTATAACATATAATTATAATTAAACATATGTTTAATAATATGTTTAATAATAATATGTTTAAATATTCTATTATATTAGAATTATATCTGTAGTATCCGCACTTCCCATACCCAACAATGAGGAGTCAAATAAGAACACGAAACGTAGGGTACGGGATTGGTTGCGTAGGTAAAGCGGTCGACTGTGGATCCGAGGATTGTGGGTTCGAATCCCCGTGCCTTATTTTTCGTTTAGACTCCTACATATGGGTCTCGTCCGGGATGGGGGGTTACAGCGGCGCAACTACACCGAAGAGGACCGGCCGGTGACGATGAACAACGATGACAAACGAATGACGGTGTCGTGTTGACGGTGGAGCGGGCAGCAGTGTGGCGTCGAGAGAGAAAGAGACAGGGAGTACACTCCAAGGAATGCAACTTTGAGGTGTTGTCGGAGTGGGACTCCCAAAAAGAGGAGAAACGGCGAAAGAGGGCGCGCGCGCACTGCTGTTGAGACGCAAAAACCGAGAAAACGGACATTCGAAGGCGAATGTCAATTCAGGATGGCCGAGTGTAGTATCCGCGCCTTCCATATTATCCAACAATAAGGAGTCAAATAAGAACGCGAAACGTAGGGTACGGGATTGGTCGCGTAGGTAAAGCGGGTCGCCTGTGGATCCGAGGATCGTGGGTTCGAATCCCCGTGCCTTATTTTTCGTTTAGACTCCTACATATCTATTGTATTATATTATTTATAATATCATTCCCATATTGACTATTTTCATATCTCTGACCTCGCACTTCGCTGGCATACACTTTAATTTCAGTTTTCTACTAGAATATTATACATTTTTATTGAGTTATTTTACAATTGCAAACAAATACAATCATGTATGTAAACTAAAGTGGTAAATAACATTTTCTTTTATTTTGAACTATCAGAATAACGATGCATATTCAAGGTTGTTTTATATCACAATAACCAACAAATTAAGATGTACAGTGTACATTTTACATATATAAAAAACAGTATACCGACCGTGAAGTTTGATTGACTTAATGATTGTCTTTCGTATTTGTTGTTACGATGCCTTACGTGATAAAAGAGCTATATCTGAGCTGTTTATTTGTGGAATCACACCATAATCGTTATTTATTGATTTGTGCTATTATCAATACCTAAAAATAATATATAACATTTCGAGGAATCTGAAAATCACTCGAATGATTGGAAAAAGGAAAATAAACAATTGTTACAATTGCGCGAAAATTCATTTGCCCGCAGGTCGCAAAAGATATAACTATACAATATAATATTTGAAACGCATTTACATAGGAAAATTTTACTTTAGGAAATTTTTATTTTTTTAAATTACCAGAAACATTGTGTCACAAAACAATATTATACCTCAGTACATTTTATAATTATTGTAGAAAATTTTAAAGTAACAATAAAATTACATTATCCATTTTATATTTCATAATTAAATCATGTTTCTGTTTTTTTTTACCGTTATTATTGCATACCTTCCATTTTATGTTCGATTGTCTCGATTATTGTAAAATCAGATAAAAGTTTAATCGGCAGAATTCTTAGTAAACTGTAGCAATTTGCATTCCATGTATAGTTTGAGGATAAATTGTATAGTTACATAAACTTAATAGTAAAGGTATGGAATTAGTGCGGCGCAGTATCTACATTTTCTTTGAAATTCATTAAACTCCGATACGATTGCCAAAGAGGAAAACTTTAGATGCTCTTACGACATGTCGTGAGCATGTCTATCTAATTATCTATAGACACCATATACATAAAAAAACTGATGCTAATGCACAATCTTTAAACCATAACACGTTCCATTACAATAATTGAACGAGGTCTTGTCTATATCATTAAAATCGTAATGAATCTGATTGTTTCACATATAAACGCGAAGACAAATTGCTAGAATGATAAACGAATTTCAATGATCAAAACGAGAAAATCCATTTTTTAGTTCTTTTTGGCGGTAAAATATGTAAGAAATTGCCTTATCCTCAAAAATTCGTAGCTCTCTTAATAATGAGCAATCTGGAGTGACACTTTTTTTTTAGCAGACTTCGAAAAGGAGGAAGTTACCCAATTCGATATGTATTTTTTTTTTAAATGCATGTTTACCTCGATTACGTCGAGATGGCTTGACCAATCGGGATGAAACCTGTTGCATCTTGTAGAGCATATCTCCCCGATGGCCCCGTTATCAAAACATTCTGCGATTGTCATTTCTTACCCGTTTTTTTTTTTTTTTTTTTTTACAAAAAACCGTAATTTTTAGGTATCTTTATTGATTATTTTGAGATGGCTTGACCAATCGGAGTGAAACCTCTTGCATCTTGGAAAAAAAAAATACATGTCGAATAGAGTAACTTCCTCCTTTTCGAAGTCGGTTAAAAATCAATGAAATCGATGAAACCCTTTATTGCCGCCGTCGAAAAAAATACATCAAACCCTTTCAAATAGTATACATGTATGCATTAAAAGCATTCAATATTGCCGCCCCCACCAAAAACCAACTCAAGCAGGAATTAAAAATTTGTAATTTTGCGCCGCCTCCGAAAAGGTTATTTAATACAATTTAATGTAAATAAAATAGAAATTTAATATATTATTTGATATAAAGGAAATCTCTAAGAAATTAAATACTATCATTTTGAAGGTGAGGTATTAAAGAAAAAAAAATGAATTTGGATAGGATTGATGAATTTTACATGTGTTGCAAAAATAACTTTTGCCATAAATGTTAGATTATTTCAGTACTAATTGTACAGAAACTGTTGGAATATTTACTATAATTCAACATTTAATTTTACTACAAAAATAAATGTACTGAGAATATATGTAAAGTATATATGTAATATATGAATGTTTAGGATGTGTCCTGCCCTCTCAAGTGCCTGAGAGGATCCTTCCTGTAGTTTACTAGAGACTAAACAGAAATTCTGTCTACCTTTTTCTTATAACGTTTGTTACTTAGTCTTGCAGCTTCTCGTAGATCAAAGATTTCAGTTTATTCGTGACATAGTAATAATAAAATCAAAACTTTTAATTAATAAATTTAGCATTTTATTATTTCGTTATACCCCATTTCCAATAGAAACAAAACTTTAGCCTCGTAGGAATTTTGTCGACTATTGGTCTGACAGTCAACATAATAATGACCGTTATTCTCCCTCTAGTTCGAACAAGTATTTTCTATGGTTTGTAAACATTATAATCTCACCTCTGCGTGGCTCTGTATTCCCCTGTGCGGACGTAGAAAGCCCGATTGTATACGTATACAGGGAACACGCGGTTAACAGCAGAGACGAAGAACTCCGTATCTTGGAGGCAACAGTCGTATGCATTGCCGAGAGAGCATTGCCAGCTATCAGTATTAGTTCGGCCGTCCTCATGCGCGGACCACGAGGCGTTCCACGCTACTACATTGTTACGACGATTTCATTAAAGAGAAACGAACCTCTGTGTTTACACTCATAACAACCGTGTTCGCCGAAAGTTTTTCCGTGTATTTCGTTCGAAACGGAGTAACGACGTTAGTGAATTTAATGCGGAGAAAGACCGACAACCAATCTCTCGAAAAAGAGTAACTCTCGAATGAGATTTTCCTAAAAATATCGCACGAAGTCTCATCGCGCGGCGCGCCGTAACAAGTATTGGGGGAATCGAGTACCGAGGAATGGATCGATAAAATAACAACGAATTAACGTCTGGTATCGTCGCGACTTTTGTGTCGGTTTATTATTTTTTTTTTTTTTTTTTTTTTTTTTTTTTTAGGTAAACGGGGAAAAAGGTATTCACGATGAAATTATTCGCTCTGTGATTGTTAGTGTTACGTAAAGGGAACAATGTATGGACTGTGCGACGTAAAGATAAATAACTGAATTAAATTAGTTTCACTCGCCGTAACTCTTCCGGGCGCAGCTGCTGTAATCCATTCGAACTAAGTCATTTGCGAAGCCGTATCGAGGAACGACTCGTTTCTTTCTTTTTTTATCATTCTTTGTTTGTCGACAAACAGCGGCATGCGTTTCTTTTTTTGTATTTTCTTTCATAATGGAAGGTAAACATTCAAGTTTGTAAGACATTGGTAACGAAAACCGGAGATCGGGAAAATTTCATTCGAATAATTAATTACGCATATTTTAAGACTTTTATTCGATCAAACAATTTCATTTAGTTCAAAATATTTCATTGCGGGCTCCAAATTCGATATTTGATTCAACGGATAGTAAAATAAATTTTCATCGTTTATTTCTTATTCGAGATTTTTATCTAAATAAGAATTTTATTTGACTACTTTATTCAAATAATAATTTGCAAATAAAACGAACCTATACAATGGAGTATTTTATTCTACAGTCCAACTTCTAAATTTGAATAATGAATCAACGTATAGCGTATAAAAAGTTGTTTATCGTTTCCTTGTTATCCGAAAGTTTTATCTAGGTAAGAAATTTGCCCACCTTCAAAGGAAACAGTTTGTTTCGACCCGTCATCAAGAACGGACGGAAATCGAACGCGTGCACGTGGTTACAAAGTAATTGGGAGATTTCGGTTCACATTTTGAGAAATCTTATCTCGACCATATTTCAATGATAAAAGACGGATAAGTCATTGTATATTGAAGATTAGTGGCATCGTGCGTTTCTTGAAATTCCGTGAAATGTGTCGTTTCCTCGCATCTATGTTGGCGACGAGATTTCGCAGGACGTCGAAAAGTCGCTCCACCGGACTCGATCTTAAATAAGGACGAACAATCGATTCCGTACATCTCTGCAACGGTAATCAATCCGTTGGAACCCGAGGGAACGCGAAGTTGTCTGAAAGTATAAGTTGATTGGAAGGATACCGTTTAACGATTCCGAAACAATTGTAGTTGTTGGGTACTCACGAGAAAGTCAAGAGATTTTGTAACGACTATGAAATATCAGAATCTATTGCTTTCGACGATTACGTTTGAAACAAGTGTTTGTGTGAAGATTTTGTAAGAGGCAGCAACGGTCGATCGAAGAATACCGATGAAAAAAAAATCTGGTAAATTCGAGTGATTTCAATGGCGTGAAATTCATCGCGGTAGGATAACTTCAGTTTTATCAAGCAACGTGAGACTGAATGTTGACATTGTGATTCTCGAACGTGACGCCTGGTAGAACGTGAGTGTTTTGACACGTGAGAAGATCGTTTTGATGGTTTTGTGGACCTTTTGATTATCGTGGTCTTTCTCAGAATTGGAGGAACAGTTCTCGCGCGTCATGGTACGTTTTCGCTCTGTTTATAATTGACGTGCAGTATCGTTATCATTGCCGTTAAAAGTCGCACACGATTTCTTATTACGATAGAGGTTCTACTTTATTAAAGAATTCGAAGTTTGAGATTAATTGATAACGCGCGAGGTGTTGGTAACTACACTGCACTGACATCTTTGTTACATTTTTCGTACTTTTAATTCTTATATGTATTTTAATCTTTAGGCCAATGATGCGCAACTTTGTTCACTGATGGGTCAAATAAAATAACGAAGTATATTTTAATTGTTAGTTTAGATCGGATTTGAAATACAAGCCACGTATATAATATAGCAGAGAAAAATATTGTTGGATAATACATATATGAAATAAAATTCTGTTTTCTCAGTTTAATTAAAATTCTCTGTTGTAAGAGTTGATATAATATACTAAGAGCATAGAAGTGAGAATTCTTAGTTAAAATATGAAATGATCGGAGTATTCTATTAAAACTTTGTATTTCATTGCTGGACTTGTTTTTAACTTTACTTTGTGAACTGGATAAACATAATGGGTCGGATTTTGGGCAAATAAAATTGGAAAGTTACGATTAAGAGCAGAAATTTAAAATAAATTATTGGAATAATTAATAGAATAGTATTAAAATTATTAAAAATATACCATTATGAAATATGTGATATTAACTCTGATGCAATTGTAACGATAAGATTGAATACAATTTGAGATAAAAGAAGTCAATCACTTTAGATGACGATGTCATAGCTACACAAGAATTTTCATCTTTTGCGTAATAAATATTTTTTATTTATACATACAATGAAATTGAAAAAGCCAACAATTTTGTATATGAATAAAAACAATTTACTAACAAGTAATTTGCTTATGAATCGGTACACAAGTTTATTACTTTTATCATTACTGTCTTTGCAGGGAAAGCAGGGAAAAATATTATATAGAACATATAGAAAATAAAATTCAGTTTTCTCAGTTTGTACACAATTATCTAAAATCATGATTGTGTTCTGGATTCATATTTCTCAGAACATCATTATTGATATTTAATGTCTTCTAATAATTATCAGGTCTTCTCGTGATTATTATTTTTCCTGCGTTTGTGATACTTTTTCTGGCTTCCCTCAAGTTTAATCAATAAATAGATTTTATTCTTTTCAATTTGATGTATACTTGATGGTTAGCATTTAAATGCATCCTAAAAAGGATCAACGGTCAAAAGTGAATGGTCGTTCTTGAAATTTGATGCATTTATTTGAATTTCTTGGTAAAGAAGTAGTGACTCCATATTTGGCACAATTATAGAATTATAACGTTAATTTAAGTGTTTTAATTTGATTACTTGAATTTTTGTCTCGATACAAATGAAACATTATGTACAGAAAGTCTTTGGTTAAATTAAACATGAAATTCATGTAATTTATTTGATTTTTAAAAATGTACATGTTGATCGCTAAATAATGAACTAAATTAATTGACCTAAATAGTACCGAAACATGCCTTCTCAATGATTTTAATTAATATATTAGTACTTTCACTTGAAATTGGAAATTCCGAATTTCGAATAGCATAATCGAAGAATCTCGTATCTGAAGAATTATTCAATACATAAATTTGATCACTAATAATGAAATAATTTAACTGGCCTAAATAGTTCAGAAATATGATCTTTTAATTCTTTCAATTAATATATTAGTTCATTCACTTGAAACTGGTAATTCTATATTTCGAATAACATAATCGAAGAATCTCGTATCTAAAGGTTTAATCGATGGTCAAACAAAAGTTAGATATATTTAATCCAGATGGAGTTTTGATCAAAGATTTAATCTATAACGATTAATTGTAAGTAACGTTTACGATACTCATTTTCCAACTTGAGTATGTATGATCCTCTTAATTGTTTTACACAATTGCACAATGGTTTTCCGCTTCTCTTAATTCCACGCGTTGTACACACGATACTGATACTCTCATTGGATTGATAAGAGCTGATGATTAAACGAAGCACGTGGTACCACGAGTTCGTTCTCCTTGTGCGTTGATAACGAAGGTTCATAGTTTCCTGGTCAATCATGTTGTCCACTTCTTTAATGAATATCACACTGTCATACGGTGATACCACGTGTTCGCGTCTTCCTGGAACGGGATCGCGAATCATTAAATTTCATAAATGTTTCTATTGGTTGAAACGAACGACACGTTCAGTTGACCAAATTACAAGGCTCGAACGATTACCAGCGATTATAATAGGGACTGATTCTTATAAAACGATCAAGCTATTATCTCTAAGTGTGTCGATAAAATGGCGAAACACGTCGTTCAAAAAACATTGTGTTTGAATTGATGATGTCGCGTTACAGAATGCATTAGTTTGTACGTGAAGGCAACGAGACCATTTCAACGTCAACTTTATTTCGTTCACTCTGGTACTTTTAATTTAAAAATGGAAAATATTTAAAACGTTGTTCGAACACGTGAGCGAGTATTTGTAATGATTATCACAGCAAATTTAGTATGAACGAGTACAGTTTACTTGACATAAATGTTCCCACTTTTCAAAAGGTATATTAAGTAGATACTAAAACATACGATAAAAGCAGAACGTAATTAAAATAAACATTTGAGAATAAAATGCTCGTCTACAGATAAAAATGTCATAACATATCAGTTACAATAAAGGTTTGTTTTGGAAACACTTGCACGAATCAAATTAATATAATATATACACGTGACAGTTGAAGCAATTATTAATGTAATTTATAACTATTGTTTAGTAATTAATCCTATTGTCACGCGTATTAAGTAAATTAATTTAAAATACAAAATGGTTTTTAAAGAGGGCCTTCATTATGGCTCACGGATTATTCAACGTGAGAAGTTTTTGACACATAATTAAGCAAATATGAAATTGAGTATATTTACAACTAGTAGTGAATTGATACTAATTAGTTAAAGAGATAGTGTAAGAGTGTAATGGATGAGCGTAAAATGTTGAAGTGTTACGGCTTAAAATACACATTAATCACTAAACCAAAATAATGAAATAAATTGAGAAACTTACATTCGAATTATGTAATATATAGTAAGTATTTGTTCTTTTTGTTTAAAAATAGGAGAGAAGGAGTTTCTTGATAAATTCTGTCCGTACAGATACATGAAAATTCCATCGAGTCGAGTCTACCTGAATAGAAAGTCAAGGTCAAGACAAGTTCAACGACCTGTCGTACGAAGTTATTCAAGGCCAAACATATAATAAGGTGATCTTAAAAGTACGTCTTGTTGACGTGTTGAAGATCGAAAGTCTGAGTATTTATGTGATCGATTCTTCTATGTAACTTATTTTTTCAATCACTGTGTTTTACTCGTATCTGTTCGTGATATTAAGTAGTATTCTCAGTGCGTTGTTAAAATTCTGTTGAAAGCTGATCCAACTCGTTTTAAGATTTACCGTTAGTGACGTATCGTATCTTCGTGGAGCCCAAAATGGAGGATAAAATGGGATTTAGGGCTTCGTGTAAAGAAAAAAACTCGGATAAAGAACATTTTTAGCGCAGTCTGATTTTATTCGGACAACTAGACAAACAAATCATAACGTAACAGAAGTATCAGAAGTACTCAGAAATAATATACACGCTTATACTAAATTTAACACGTATTTTTAACAGTTCTTCATAATTAGTTTTGTTCGTTACATAATTTTTAATACAAGCTACTGACAAATTATTTGCAATTAATCATACGTTAATGTTACTTATTGAAAGAGGTATATATATAAATTAAATATAAAATTAATTTTGAAACTTACAGTCTGATTGAAATAATAATAAAAAATGTTTGTTCTTCTCGTTTAAATTCAACTTTTCTTTTTCAGGACAATTTCTAAGATAATTTTGCACTATTCTAAGCACAGCTGATGTTCTCGTAATAGAAATTGATAATAAAGTTTTTAATCATGTTCACATTAGGAAATATTGGTAAAATATAATTCTTAAATTTCATGTTTCGCAAAATGTGTTAAGCGCGTTAATTCTTATTTAAAATCATTAGCATCAAGGCCATCTAAACATTTATTTAATTGATAATAGAGTTATCGAAAGGAAAGACAATTTTATGTTAAGGGGGCATTTCACTGTGAACGCACAAAAAATGCATATTTTCAATAATTTTTTTCTCAGGAACTATTGCATAAAACTGAATGAATGTTTTTTCTCCTTAAAGGTATGATTAAGGAAACTAAATACAAAATTTTTTTTTTTGGTAAAAAATATTTTGTCATTTATTTACAAAATAATATGCATGTGTGCAAAAAAAAGTTATCCGTTGGCGCAGGTGATTTTGGCTCTCCTGGTAATCTGAAACAGAAAATCGAAAAAGTTTATTAAACTATGTCGTCACATCTATCGTCGGAACCTCCAAGTAGTTGATATTTTAAATTTTACTTACAATTTCACCTGATTTACGGTACAAAAAAAGTGTTTTTTTTTCTCTTTCACAAGAAACGCTGCCATTTTGTTTATTTTCGATGAAATAAAGAAGTGGAGGTTCCGACCATAGGTGTGACGACATAGTTTAATAAACTTTTTCGATTTTCTGTTTCAGATTACCAGGAAAGCCAAAATCATCTGGGCCAGCGGATAACTTTTTTTTGCAAACATGCATATTATTTTGTAAATAAATGACAAAATATTTTTTACCAAAAAAAATTTTGTATTTAGTTTCCTTAATCATACCTTTAAGGGGAAAAAACATTCATTCAGTTTTATGCAATAGTTCCTGAGAAAAAAATTATTGAAAATATGCATTTTTTGTGCGTTCACAGTGAAATGCCCCCTTAAATTACAGCTTTTTCCTAATAGTTTGATTTTAAAACATTTATTTTCACTTCATTTTAATATGAATAATATTTTCGATTAATTGAATGAAAGACCACTCTTTGATGTTGGGCGAAGTAATGGTTTCCACAATTATTTTTTTATTTTTCATTCAATCATAAT